GCCACTGTGATTTCACTTCCTTGACAAGGTCACCATCGATCTCCATGTTACTAAACCCATTAGTCAGTTCTGAGTCCAATCTTACTTGCTGTGTTGGCAGAATGTGCACAGCTCCCACTATCTCATTCTTGATTATTACCTTTATTCCCCCATAATCTTCTGGTTTTCCTCCTTCCTCCTTTGCAGTATCTTGGGGTTTTTTGTGGGCTTTTTTTTTTTTCCAGTTTCCTTCTTAACATCCCTGACTTCTTAACATCAATGCATCATGGAGTTCATTTCTTGGAAATCTTTTGTTCCTATCTACACTCCCTCACCCAGATGATTTCATCCATTTCAAGGCTTTAAATGCCATCTATATAATGGCAACTCACAGACTTGTATCTAGCTCAGACCTCTTGTATTCAAGAACAGTTACTTGAAATTTCCACTTGGATATATGAAGGCATATCAAGTCAACATAAATGAAACTTTAGACCTTCCCCTCCTAACACTCCAGCAGTCTTTCAGATCTCAGTTAATGGCTTCTTCAATCTTGCATTTTTCAGGCATTGGAGTTTTCCTTCCTTCTATCTTTGTCTCTCACTTTACACATTTTCAGTCTGATAGTCTTTCACTTCCGCAACTCTAGTCTACACCACCATCATTTCTGGCCTGGATTATTCCAATACCCTCCTACCTGGTGTTTGTACCACTGCTTCTCCTTTGGTACAACAGCACAGTGATCCTACTAAAATGTAAAATTAATTGTATCTGTCACTCTTCTGCTCAAAATCTTTGAATGGCATCCTACTTCACTCAGAGTAAAACGCCAAGTTCTTGCCATGCCTATAAGACCCACTATGATCCAGGCTCCTCTTATTTCTAACATCCACTCCTCTAATTTCTCCCATGTTCATTTGGCTCCAGTTGTGTTAGCCTTCTTGCTGTTCCTCAAGCACATCCCCAGATGAAATTCTGCCACCACCTCCCTCAGAGGACTATGAGAATTGTCTATTATATGGCCACACTGCATTTAGAATATTCCCTTCTACTCTGTCCTCCCAACCACTGTCACAATTATTATCATTATTATTTTACCCATTAGCTCATCATGATACTAGACTCTAAAATCCTTCAATGGGTCTTTCTGTGAGCTTAAGGAGGAAGCCCAGATCTCACATGTGCTTCAGTGATCTGGCCTTTGCCTGTTTTCCATTGTCTCTCTTCTCCTCCCCCCTTAATCCTCTCCCAACCCAGTATATTGGACTGTGCTTACAGCAGGCTGTTCTTCTGTATTTTTGCATATATGACTAACTACCTAGAGTGACAAATTGACTTGCTCAGCTGGTCTCTGACATCTTTTTGGCTTTCAAGGTGAAATTCACCCATTACTGGTTCTTTTACCAATCACTGCATTATCATACTTACACTTTTATTATAGCATTACATGTGATGCTTAGCACAGGGTGAGCCATGTTCTAAGTGCTCAGTATTTAATCACTGCGATAATGAGTGGTGGTGGTGGTGATGGCGATGCTCTGTCTCCTCTTTTGGATGGAGATCCTTAAGAAACAAAGCTTCTGTTTTATTTATTATCACCATCCAGCACAAGGCCTCCCTCTCATATAGCAGGCATCCAAAACATCATTTGATTTCTTAAGATGTACAAGAGACATATACAGGGATGTTCAGACAAACTTTACTTATAATAGTTGATAGTAATAACTATTGATTAATAAATAACCAAAAAGTAGAAAAACCTAAGCATCCATTGAGCTGAGCTGAACTACAGAAACAGGTTCAAAAACAAAGACTGCTGAAAATGGTGATTCAGAGTCATCTAATGTTTCTTCTCGGTTCAGCTGGTTACTTAGAAATCTTATAAACATCATAAGATCAAGGACATAAGTGGCCACAAAGCCTGTGTTCTCACAGGTGCACCCAAAGTTCATGATATTACAGCCCTTGTGGGGTGAAGAACATGGTAGCAAAGCAGAGGCCAGACAATGCTGCTTTTTTACTGATGGCTGGGAGAGAGGCCATGACAACCTGCCTAGAACCACTCTTGGGCCACCCTTGGGTGCTTCCTCATTTTGTTTCTTACTATATCATCAAGCTTACCCAAGATTTCATTGCAGCAGGCCTGGGCATGCTCACCTTATTCATCAGTAAAGAAAGGACAAATAAATGTTGCTTTAACCATTCATCATACAAGATGCAACCAGGGAAACAGTCCACGCCAGTTATTTTAAGGTAATTTAAACATAGGGATTTGGTTAAATGAGTGATGAATGAAGGTCAAATACAGAACTCTGAGGTAGCACAGAAACAGCATTACAGAAAGCAGACACCACTCTAGTTCATGAACACTGGGAAGAGGAGGGAGTTAGGAGATAGTCACTCTGCAGAGGCTCAGACCCGGAGGCAGGCCGCTCTCCGACTAGTGCTGATGAGCAGATGCCAGAGGAGGGCCCCTTGGAAGGAGACTCAAACCTCTGCAGACACTGACCAGTGCTGGTATTTTTGAAGGAGGGCTACGGCACTTGTTCTGAGAGTAGGAAAAGCAACTGAAAACTAGAACCAGCTGCCCTTGGGACAATTACTGACGCCAGGAACAATAACTGTTGGCGACATAAACCTGACAAGTGAGCAAATGGAAAGTTCCTTTTCTCTTCTTCTAACCTTCCGTACCCCTCTAACTCCCTATTGGCAGAACCCAACAGGGAACCAGGTGTCAAAGGAGACATAGTTTGCCTAGTCCCAGCCCCAGCATCTCAAAGAAGAATATGGAAGGATGGGTTTGAAGCTGGGAGACAATAGCTTAATAATTGGCACATTCATATGCTACTACACCACACAGCAGTGCAAATGCATGAGAGAGAGTGATGCCTATTTACAAGGATTAAGCTCACAATTTCTTATATAAAAATAAGAAGGCAGAGTGATGTGTATAATTTGATGCCATATATACAATGTTCAAAACGATGCCAAGTAGTACTAAGTAGGAATATGTACATATGCAATGAACTGCCAAGAAGTCATGGGAATGATCTAGAAAAATTTTAGGAGAGTAATTTCCTCTGGAGGAAGAGAACAAGGAAAGAAGGAGGATGCAATTGGAAAGGAATATTGAGAGGCAACTGCTTTATTCATAACATCTTATTGTGTAAACTGGGCTGATAGGTGATTGTTATACAGTCGTTTATACATTTCTGTGTGTTAGAAACATTTTTATAATAAAATTTTAAAGAACTTGGAATATACATTTGCTTTTTAATAAATGAATGTTTCATAAGGAAACAAGACAGGGCTTTGATATTTCTAAGCCCCAGGCAGGTTCTTTCGTGGGCCCAGTGTGGCTTCCCACTTGTCTTTTCCTACATATGACAAAAGCCATGTACTGTTTTGTACGGAGTTACTGCCACCCACTCTGTTTTTTGAGCTTAGGATATCCGAGACTGGCTTCAGAGTCATACCAAGCCTTCAAAGTTCTCCCTGAAGAGAAGCACATGGGACTTTTACATTTAGAGGTTTTGTGCAACTCTCTATGCAGAATTAGATAAAGATAACAAAAACGAGGAGGCACATTTGCCCAAGTGATGGCAATCCAACTCAAACACTGAGCAGAAACATGACACTCCTCAGCTCACATAACTAGAAGGTCTGGTTGGAATACTGGTTTCATCTGGCTGGAGCTGGTGCTTAAATGATGTCTTCAGAGTTCTTTGGCTCAGCTCTCCTTTGTCTTCATCCTTGGAAACATTCTTTTCAATGTGCAATGAAGATTTTTCCTGGAGGCTCCAGATTTACATGTTCCTTGTGCCTCTGATCATAGTCAAGAGCACTTCTTTTCCAATTGTTTTATCAAAAGTCTTGGGAAGGAGTCTTATTGGCCAACCTTCAAACATGTGCTCAGTCCTGCATAAATCAGGGGACTAGTCTGTGATTGGCTAGGCTTGGGCAATATACCACACACCCTGGAGCTAAAAGGGGTGATCCCAAATCCTAACTACATGCAACATATTACCTTTAAGAAACACAGGATATGGGAGGGCAGTGGAGAGGAAAATTCACCACAGGAAGTTACAAAGTGCCTGGGTATCATTCCTGATTCCCTTGATCATTTTGGCCTTCTCTCTCTGGGAGAACCAAGGCTTAACATTTCAATAACAGCTTGCATTTCTGAAGACCTCCAAGCTCCTGACATCCATTCTACTTATGCCTTTTTCATTTCTTCTTAGACCTTTAGTTTTTCACTTAACTTCTTATACTATCACTTTATCTTCTTTTCAAATACATCTGTATTCCTTGCAAGCCAGTGAGAAGTCTAATTGATGAATAGGTCTCTTGCCATGAGACATGAGTTAGGACTTGATAGTAAGGCACCCTATCTGCCCTCCAACAACATACTTCCTACTTCTGTTTTCATGTAGTCAGAAGCATAGCATATTTTTACTAGATGTCTCCCAGCAGAAGTACATTATAAGCAATTGTTTTTATGTGATCTCCAGACGACAGTGCTCTAATTCACGATATATTCTGTACATCAGTAAGATACTTCAATTTGAATTCATATATGGTCATATTGGAGGTGTGGTCTGGCCAAAGAAAGATTTGTATTTCATCCAGTAAGACCTATATAACTATTCTGTCCCAAATACAGAGGAGGTACTTAATTTGGGTACCCATTCTGTCTATTCTTAACAGTTTTATCAGTTCAATCAGCACCTTTGTTCCAGACAATCTGTTATACATTAGAAACATATCAAAGGTAAATTTGCATGACTTCTGTTCTAGAAACTCCCTTTAGTGGTAAATATATCAAATATGATTGTCTTTATAACATGAAATATAAGGTGTTTCACAGAACAAAGGTAACTGTTTTCCATCTGTTTGTAGATACTACATTATTGAGTCAGTTGGACTTCGACCAAATAAATAGCAGATAAGTATTTCATTACTGATTAGTTTATCAACCTTGGGGAATTTAACTTCAAACAATATTTTTGAGAGACTTATAATTAGCAATCATTTAAAATGTTTTATTTGTCATTTGTAATATCAAAGATTAAAATTAAACACAAAATGTGACAACCTCCGTATCCCTTCTCTTAACAGTAACCACTTGATTATAAAAGTAGTTTTAATTTCCTACTGCATGTTAATAGAATATTCAGATTGAGTCCATTAAGAGTAGATATACTACAATACACAAAAAAGAAAACATAAATGCTTTAATTATGATTTTTTAATGTGAGAGCATTAGACAAAATAATTTGGATGTACAAAGTCTGAAAAAGATCTGAAAATTTAAAGTCATTTCTTTAATTTTAAGAATATCTGCATTAAGTGATCAGTAACAAATATACCACTATTTCAGGTAGCATGAGATCTATGTATTTTGAAAAAAGTAGACTACTCAATGTTGAAAACAGTGTCACTATTAACAGTCATGGTCTTTGTGTTATGGGATTTTTGCCTGTTAAATTTACCTTGAGGTGGTAGAGCTTAGGGTTATTAATGCTCTGGGCCAGGTAACATTTGATACAAACCTGGACTGCCCACCATTTCTTCTAGAGCATCTGAAAACAACTTTCAGTGTGCAGATAAAACTCACTCTTACCACCTGATTGGAAAGCAGATTTCCCTCCAAATCACTAGCATAGGAAACTAGATGGCTTCTAATTATCTTAAATGTCAAATAGAATTCAGTCATCAACCTCTCAATTCCCATCACTACTGCTCTTTTCAAAGGCTGTAGCTATGTTTACAGGAGCATCAAATCTCTTTACTCTGCTTACTCTGAGCACAAGTAGACAAAGTCACACAGCAAATAAAGCTAGAGCTGGGATTTGATTCTCATTTATCTGACCCAAATACCTGTGTTCTTTCTACTACACTACACTGCAACATTTCAGAGTAGCCCAAAAAAGGCCTCAAATATCCTTAATACTTAAAAGTTACCCTTTTAAGTATTAAGAGAAAAGAACAAATTTAGAAATCATTAGTCTACACTGCTAAGATAGCCTTTCAAAGTTTCTTAGTAAACCTGGGAACCTGATAAACACATTTAGCAAAATACGTGATGCACCAATGAATGTGATAAAGAGATGCTCTAGATAGTCACAATATACTGTAAAGCTAAGATCATTAATAAAGTGGATATTGACAGGTAAGTTGTTGCTGACTTGTTGGTTTTGCCTGAGATGGACAGCCTGTCTTTCTTGTACCATCTCCCAAAGAGTGACACTGTTAGGATAGGCTGGGATGTTCCATTCTTGTTTACCAAACGCCCATCTTTTAGTACCTAAAGAAAAAAGTGAGACAAGCATAGTCAGCTTGATTACAATATGTATTATCGGCAGAAGAATGATTTTAAAATTTCAGTAAATGTGTTGAAATCTCTACAGAAGTGATCCTCTAAGATAATGTGGAAATATTTGCTCCTGGAGAGTCCATAAGTCAAGGAAAATGGGGAAATCCTCAAGAAGATATTGCCAACATAAGTTATGTAAAAAACTTGTCATTTGCAATACTGTATCTCATCTTTCTAGAGGCAATATGTTTATGAAAGGACCAGCAAGGTCTTTAGAGAAAGAACTAAAAAAAGAAATCAAGAATTGATTATTGTTCATTTCGCTTTTTTTGAGGAAAGCAGGCTCCCTGACTCAGCATGATCTTTAGATAACCAGCCCTATGGAGAAGCACATTGCCTCAAGCTACCATAGCTTCATGAACATCTTGTCTGTGAATAGTCGGCCCCTTCTGTTGTAATTTTGTGCTCACAAAACAAACTTCTGGTCTATCACTGGAACTTGAGAGAACACAGCGATGGAGAGCTTTCTTGAGATGACATTTCATTGTTCTCTAGCTCAGTGAATCTATATTTAAAAAATGATAATTTGGTTGCCTCTTTTAACCATCTTGTGAAGTCAGTTGTGTCTGTTCCTTAGAATTGGTAAACTTCAAGGAAAGTCATGCCATGGAGAATCCATATTTGTGAAACTGCGACTAGCTCCCTGGCCTCCATGAAATGCTATACCAAAACCCTGCTTGCCACCAGCCCAATGCCTCTTTCATAATTTGGGGAGTAACACAATCTATATCTCTTTCTCTCTTTCTGCAAGTGAGCTGGAGTAGATTAGACATGATCCAATTGATAATCAGACTGTAAGTGCCTACTTTAAAGAATAGGTGCAATCGCTCCTTTCCCTCTTTCCTTCCATCCAAGAATAAGGGGCCAGGGCCCAGAGATAGGAAACAGCACAGGACCTGAGAATTGTTAAGAGTTGAGACCTACAAATACTACAGAGGTAAGGACTCAACCATTTACTCTTTTGTAACCTTCTCTAACTGTTCCCAACTGCCTGAAGGCACTTAAGATAAAAAAATTTAAAACAGAGAAAGGAGGTAGCTAAGTACTAATTTCTTTATGCTCTCAAGTCCTCATCAACTATCACCCTCCAACTTTATCCAAATATACAAATCTAATGTGATTCATAGTGACAGTGAAATGGCATTTCTGGCTCTGGAACTCTCACCTGGTCTGTAAAACACTAGCAGTTTTTTTGTCTTTCTCCTGTGAATGAGATGCATTTGTGAGAGAAATGCTCAGCAACTCTCTGGGATAATTCCTCAAGGAGATACATTTCTATGAGTAATGACATGGCAGGTGGGAATGTCAATATATTATGTGGAAAACTAGACTGTGTACTCAGTGTCAATGACAGGGCTCATAAGATACTGTGCACCAATAGTACCAGACCATATGCTTTCCAAAGCTCACATATATGAATCTTGCTCTCCCTTCTCTCACTTCCTTGAAATAATCCAAGATATTTTCAATTCATCTATGCTTCTCTGCACCAGTCGAACCACCTTTCGACTACTAGATTTCAGTTCCAGACTCCTCATTTCAGATCTGATCATGATTTTCTGTGGTTGGCATTTAAGCCAAGATTCCTGTTCTCTGGGTTTCCCAGACTTAAGGCTATATTGTATGTTAACTGTTTGTTTCACAGAATTAAACAATTTTTTATAAATATGACATATCCTTGCCTAAGGATATAGGTAGACACAGATATATGAAAATAAGCAATCTACAATTTGAAAGACCTCCTTGCTTAATGTCTTAGATGAAGTACATAAATCCTATTTTCTTTCATAGAAAACACACTGATTTTGCTCAAGTTACTGGAACCCTCCCACTCTTTGCCATAATTCAGAGAATACATTAAGATTCAGACTGCTGGAGTACACGTATGTGTGTGTGCATGTGCTGTGCACTAGCAGATATAAGCCAGCAGTGTATTAATTCTAATTTGTGACCAACTGAATTTGTGAATTGTTACAGACAGTATAATTTGTGAAATAAACATCTTATTATCTCCCTGTCTCCACAAGTGATAAAATGAAATTTAAAAATCTATAAAAAACATTCTTCAGTGAATGATGCCTCAACCCCACAGGCTCTAGGTATCTTACTGTGCTATTCAAATGAAGCATCATCATTTTAGAATTAGTTTCAGAAAACCACAAAAGTGGCCACAATTTCCCCTCCTTCATCTGTGCCTTTTTGCAGTGTGATTTTTATGACTCTTCCCTTGAGAAAGCTACCGCTGCCCTGAATCTACATTGGCCATGTGTCTTGCTTTTGGTTGAAGAGACATTCACAAACAGGGTACAAGCAGATACTTGAAAAGAATTTGCCCATTGCTTTTCCTCTTGGTGCTCTTGGACTCTTTCCACAAACGTGTGAATAACCCCAAGGCTGCTGAAGATGTGAGGCCACAGGGACAGTATGACCTAAGTCACCCCAGCCGTCCAAGACAAGGCAGTCAAAAACCAGCCAGTTCCAGCCAACCCACGGACTAGTGGCAGATGCATGGGTGAGCCCAGCCAAGGTCAACTACACCTGTTCCAGACTGGAAGAACAGCGTGGCTGTGTCCAGTTAACGTTGCCAACCTCAAAATAAGACTCAAGAAGTGGTTGTTGTTTAAAGGCACTTAGTTTGAGGAAATTTGCTACACAGCAAAAGTTAACTAATACAATTGCTGTATCCTGCTTTACTTAGCTTCAGAAAACAGATAAAGTGAAAATAATCTTAAAATCCTCTTACCTCAAATTTTCCAGGTGACAGATGAATGTCAGTAAGTAGCACTTCAGGAAAAACATAATTTGTTCCAAATGTGCCACTGAGGGAGAACATGTCAAATCTTGTCAAAGCAGTTTCCACTGGCTTTCCACAAGTTGTCCTATCAGTAGTTTGGCATTTCATCATTGTGCATACCTATGTGGGACAGGTGCGAATAAAATGCAAGGCTTTGTATCTGAGTTACTTGTATTTGAACTGTTGACCCAGTTTAAAGCCATCACACAGCACACATTTTCTCCATTTGATAAAGAGATTTAGATTATGTTTCTTAAAATCACCTGCTTTATTGGAAATGGCAAATGACCTGAGAACTGACCCCACTTCCTGGGTAACAAGTGGATCAAAAGAAAGAAGTCAGTTTAGAAAATTAGATTTAAGCCATTAGTGGCATGTCAGAGAATGGCATTTGGCCCAAGAGAGGGGAGGCCTTCGGCCAACAGTAGTACTAAAGCTAAAATAATGATTCAGATGTTGACCATGTCTTTTTTCATATTCTTTTCTTTAGAGAAGGCAGTGGGCATAGAGTATAAGAAAATATAAATGAATAGCCAACATTATGTAAAAAGTTAGTGTTTTAAATATTTATCATGGAAGGGAATAAAATGAACAGGACATAAGATTTTAAGAGAAGTTAAGATAAAAGTGGTATCCCTACTCATTGTTGGTTTTAAAAGTTAAAACAAGACTGTTTATGTTCAGATATGTCAGCAAAGTTACTTAAGGAGTCTTACTGGAGTTCACTAAAATATATAAACTAGTTGATTAGTCAAATTGAAAATCATAATGGTCAGGTTAATAATATCTTTTTAATATGCTCAAAGGAAGAAATCAGATTATGCTTAACTCCCATTGTTAATATAATACAATTAATCCCAAAGTGTATGTGTGTGTGTGTGTGTGTGTGTGTGTGTGTGTGTGCATGCATGCATGCATGCAATATTGGCAATGCATGGAGTTATGACAAGAAAAAGCACTTGGTTCCTTGGGGCAAATATGAAAATTTAACCCTAAATTTACTGACATTTAAACACTCCCTTTCACTTGAGCTGAGATTACCTGCCAGTACTCTTGCTGCCTTCGGCCGTGAAGTCCTGTAAAAGCGCCTAGAACATACACTTCATTCTTTTCCTTTCCTGCCATTCTGTAGCTTAAATGGCAGCAGAGATCTTCTTGACAGACTGTAAGGTTTCCTTCATTTTCAAAAAGTTCTGTGAAGTTGAACCTATCCTGGGAAACCAATCCCCCAAAAATGCTTTTCTGTACTGGGAATGGCTTGATAGTCCTGGCATAGACGCTCCAGTTCACAGCCGGTGGGTAGTCAGGAGAGGCTCGGGGATGCGAGTCCAGTTCTGAGAGGAGGAGCCTTCCTGTGCCGGATGCCATGTTATAGTAGAACTCTTTGGGAGAATGTGGTGCATAGATACCGCTGCCTGTGAACAGAAGATGAGTCTTCTTAAAACAAAAACAAAATCAACACTACCATTAGAATTGGGCATGTGATCATGTCACCACAGTAACCACAGTGAGACAGAACACAGGCTTGTAGCTACAATGGACACTAAGTACTCCTCTTATTCTCTGTTGGAGGTAATTAAAATAGATGTTCAAGGGTCTCAAAATGTCAATAAGCTTTGACTATAATAGGATAATTTATTAGCAGGATGGAAAATTAAACCAAATATAAGAATCTCTGTATTTGGGAGTTCCTGAAACGTAGGGAAAGGAGATGCTGAATTTTCTCCTGTTCCTCACTGTGGTGATTTTCAAATCTGTCCAAACTTCCTTCAACATTCAACTTCCTCTCCAAGAGGTAGATCTAATTCCCTTCCCTTTGAGTGCTGGATGGACTCAGTGATTCACTTCTACTGAACAGAACACATGGCAGAAGTGATGCTGTGTGACGAGTCATAGACAGTGATGTAGTTTCTCCTCCCTCCCTGTCTTGCTTTTGCCCTCTCTCTTCTCACTTGCTCTGGATGAAGTCAGATGTCATGAGGAGACATCATACAATGCTCTGGAGAGGCCCAACTGGCAAGAAATGGAGGTGTCCTGCCAGTAGCCCCTGGAAAACTAAGGATCCTGTCGATAGCTGCGTGAGGCAGCAATCTTGGAAGCAGGCTTGCCAGTGAGTCAAGGCTACAGATGACTGCTAGCCCAGTTACCAGCTTGATGTATCCTGAAGAGACATGCCAAACCAGAACCACCCAGGTAAGCTGACCCTAAATTACTGATCAGCAGAAAATGTGAAACAATACATGTGTGTTATTTTAAGCCACTTTTACTATTTTCCCTTTTAGGATAATTTGTCACATAGCAACATGTCAATAACACATTCCTCTGTCCTTCACCAGTGTTAGAGCAAATCTTGTTCTGTGCTTTGTCACTTACTAACTGGCAGCCTTTGGCATGTTATTTGCATCCCCTGTGTCTCAATTTTCTAATCTATAAAAGTGAGATGACAATCCTCATCTCATGAGTTGTGAGATAAATGAAATAATACACATAAAGGACCTAACACAAACACAGCTATAGGAATCAAGCCCTAGCCTTTCTTTTGTTGTGAAAGGATGACAAACATAGTGAGGAGTTGCAACATAGAAGCAAAAAATTATTACAAGTCCTATCTGAGGCATTAGTCTCTCTGCATTTAGAAGTATAATGTGCGAACCTCATTTGGTTGTGAATTACCTGTCATTTTTAGCTCAACATTATGTGTATCGGCTGCAAGAAGATTAACTCTCATTCCCACAGCCCAAGCTGAGTGGAATTCAATAGCTGTCAAAAAGGGCAAAACATTCATCCAAGCTGTGGGGAACAGGATGGTGTCCACCTGGAAATCTTCTATGAGGGTAATGGCAGGATCATGGAAGAGTATGTCAAAGCATGTGAAAATGCCAAACCTTCCAAATGTGGTGTTGAAAGTCACCAACTCTGGCTTTTTAGGGACATCAAACTGAGGCTCTGAGTAGAGGTGGTACTACGACAAATGGAGAGGATAAAATCAGAAAAGGTTTGTTTATTGCAGAGATGACTCATCAAAGCCCTCAGAATTTAGTAATAGACTTGGTTACGGTCAACAAGAGGAAATCTGTAGGAAGTGAATGAATCTGATTATTAGAAGTAAATTTCCAAGGCAAATGTGGACAAATACAGCCTCTCTCTCTTTCCCCCCATCCCTACACCCCTCCCCACCTGCTCTCTCTCTGTCTCTGTCTCTGTCTCTCTCTCTCTCTTTCCCCCTCCCTACTTGCCTCCACCCTCAATTGGGAGTCAAACACCTTCACATAAATTCCAAAGACTATGTTCCTTAGAGGATCAAGATGTAGGTTTGGAGGCCAGGAGTGGTTAAGTAACAGTCTATCCCTATGAAACAAGTTTAACAAAGCATTTCCCACCAACAAGGGCTTATTTTGGAAAGATAGGAGTGATGCAATATTGGGCACTTGCATCATGTAAGTGTAAAGTATAAAATATTTCATATGGATGGATGTTTTAAATGGATTATCTCTGGAGAAAGCTATTCAATCTCTATAAATTTGGAGAAAAAAATTTCAAAAGTTTCTTGAAAGCTGAGGAAGCTTTCTTTTTTATGTTTCTAGTATCAGGGATTCAAAGAAAAATAATATGCACTATTGTCCTTTGAATCCCTGATACCTAGAAACCAAAGATATGCACTAAGTGTCTGTTAATAGAAGAGGTGCTCCAGTGTCACATCCAAAGTAATTTCAGAGACTCTTCCCAGCTTTCAAAATTGCTATTGAAAATGAATGTGTTATTTAATTCTGCCTGATTCCTTCAGGTAAACTTGAAAAACTAACCTAGTCTAATACAATAATTGGGGCCATCTTAACAAAAGTCTTCAAAGTAGGGAATGCCAAGGGATGGGAATTAAAATTCCCCTCTACGTTTCTGCCTAAAAAATAAAAAAGAAATTGAACTTTTAGTAGTGTTTTAACAATGGATCAACAAAGGTACTCTTATTCAGTCCCTATGTGAGAGGTCAGAGGACACAATGGTCTCTGAGGTACCCTGAGGGGTGACTGAGAGCTCCTCAGCTTACACAGGACGACCACAGGTTCCTGGCTAGTGGGCCCACATTCAGTGCACTGCGCCATCCTGCAGTTTACCCGAGCCTGGTTCAGTGGATGGACCTACTATGCTACCAATTTAACTAAATCAGCACTTACAAAATGGGAGAATAGCTAGCGATGATGCTTGCAAACAAAGTGCATTTAAAAATGATACTAATAATTCAAACAGTCTTGAAGACAAGAAAATGGAAGACCTGATATTTCTATTTCCAATTTTAAACACATTTTTGAGAACATGAAAGTTTAATTATATCTGAAGAGAAGTTTCCCCAAAGAGGCTTTGTGTCAAAACCCACAAGCTTATGAAGAAAATTTTTGAAAGTTATGTATCTTATTTATGAACACAAAAATAAATATAGATATATTGAGGATTCATGTTAAAAATTTTTTCTGACAGAGGATTATAATCTAAAACATTTGATACTATTACTCCTCTTGACTAACATTTCTATTTTAACTGGGAGTTGCAGGAAATAATTTTTCTACACAAAAGATTCTGAAGTGGCAATTTAAGATGCTTAGAAAAAATATGGGAGGAAAAGAGGAAAATTCACACTGACATCATAGCTCCATTTAAAAGGCCAGGCTCTCTCCCTGACCAGTTTAATATAAAATTATGGCTTATGGTTATTTTACTCTTTCAGTTCAGAGTTTAAAGTAAAAATGCTATGATTTGACCGTAAATCTATAAAAGGCTAAATTAGGTGATGTAGAAAATAGAGTGATCATTTTTGTGATCTGATAGGAAACAGAAATTAACTTCCTTGAAACTGATTTATACAATTTGGAAACATCTTTGTATCATTTCAATATTAAATGGTATCCAGGTTACAGTCACTCTAGTCTATTTTGTGTCAATATTAAAGTTACTTGTTTTATATATAGAAACATTTTCTCAATCCTGGACTATGACAACACTTTTCTAAAAGGTCTTTGCCTACATTTTTTTCCAGATTAGTTTTTTACTGAAATGTCATTTTCTATACTGCTCACTTGAAAAAAAAATTTTTCTGGTAACATATATGAAGTAGGGAATGGAGCTCATACCCCTAAATGCAGGATTCACTGCCCCCAAAGCAGGCTCCATTTCACATATTCAGCCCCTCTTACCTTATGGTATCGTGCCACCAGCTTCCCCTCTTTATCATATACCACATTAGTATTGTATTGATAATAGCCATCAGGAGGACAGTTGGAGTCAGAGGAATTACACGGCTTTTTGTCCCCAATATTTGCCAAAACATAGATAGAGCTGTTCTTGGCCAGGCAGCTGAGTCTTGTTTGTACTGGTGTGTGACCAAATCTGAATCAAATTTTAATGAGGACATTTCAATAAATCAGACAGAGAAACATAAATATTGTATGATATCACTTATATGTGGAATCTAAAAAAAGTCATACTCATAGAAACAGAGTAGAATAGTGCCTACAAGAAGCTGGGGAGTAGGGAAGTTGGGGAAATGTTATTTCAGGGTTCAAACTTGCAACTAGTAGATAAATCAGTCCTGGAGAGCTAATGTACAGTGTAGTGATTATAGTCAACAGTACTATATTATACACTTCAATATTGCTAAAAGACTACACCTTAACTGTTCTCACTACAAAAAAGAAATGATAATTATGTGACATGATAGAGGTGTTAGCTAATGCTATGGTGGTATTATATTGCAATATATGAATATATCACATCAACACGGTGTACACCTAAACTTACTCAATGTCGGTCAATGTCAATTATATCTTTTTTAAAAAGAGAGTTCAACTTCAAAAACTTCTAGTTACTTCATGCAGAAATAATAACAGTAAGAGTCAAAGTGTAGTGGAAGTCAATATAAAAACTATCCATGAAAAATCATATTTTAAAAGCCACAAATTTTACTTGAACTTGATTAATTTTTCCACATCATATCTATTTTTCTGGCAACTCATTATTCATTTTCCCCTGCAGCACTGGTTGTCTCCTCTCTATTGAATCATTCCATCAGCATGCAAAAATGCTCTAGTACCTCCTATCTTTTAAAAAATAAGATACTCTCTTAAACCCACATGCCCTTCTAAATATAATCCATTTCTCAGCTCCCTCTTAATAGCAAACCTCCTAGAAAGAGCTGTCCATCTTGCTGTCTCCAGCCTTTCCTCTCCCATTCTCTTTTGAAGCGCTCAAATCAGTTTTCATTTCTATCATCCCAGCAGACAAACTCTTACTAACACCGTTGGTGATCTCCCCATCTTACTGGATCTCACACTACTTACATACAGCAGCTGACACAGTTAATTACACTTTCTTCCTGGAAACATTTCCCCTTGCTTATTGGGCCACTCTCTCTTTCTCCTACTCACTGGCAGCTCTTTTCATTCTCCTTTGCTGGACCCTCACCTCTCCTGAATCTAAACATTGGAATTTTCTAGATCTCTTCTCTTTTTCTAACTCTGTCCATAGTGGACCCATCATATTGTTAAAAGCCTTCTGTATTCTGACTCCTGACTTTCCATCTCTAACCCTGACCTTGTTCTTTCATACCAGCCTTGCATATGTAACTGCCTCATTGACACCTCCACCTGGATGCTTAAACTATGATACTCAAAATTGACACCCTAATTTCCATCCCAGACTTTCTATTCCTCCAGTGCTCCCTATATCTATAAATGGCAATTCCCTGTTGCCAGTTGCTCAGACTAAAAACTTGGGAGGCACTCTTGATGCTTGTCTTTCTCTCATATCCCCACACTCTGGCAATAAATCCTGTCACCTTCATATCTAAAACATGTCCATAAACAGACCATTTCTTTTCATCTCCACCACTTCCATCCTAGTTCCAGTCCCAGCAGCCCTAAGCAGGATGACTACACTAGCTTCCTAAGTGGTCTGCCCGCTTGGCCACTGCCCTCCTAGTTTTTTCCTAATACAGAGCCAGATGGCCGATTTGAAACATGAATCAGATAGGTCACTCTGTGGCTCAAAACCCTCCATGCCTCCCCATCGCACCCAGAGGAAAAAACAAAATTCTTATATAGATTTCAAGACCCTACATGATCTATTTCACCCCACAACATGGCACTTTCTGATCTCACCTCATAATCTCTCTCCCTTGCCAGTGCACTGATGTCATACTCACTCAAAGCCCTCTAATCAATTCAAATAAAAGAATAACTACAATAGGTCCTATACTTCATCTCACCCAAGCACCCCATTATTCTGATTTCCATACAACATTCTGTACAGTAGGTTAGTTTGTTTACAATTTTCCCCCACTAAATATTCATAAGCTACAGGAAGGGCAGAGATTTCCTTATGTGCTGTATCCCCTATTCCTAGAATAGCATCTCACATAGTAAGTGCTCAACACATAATGGCTGAATGAATTAATTAAATGTGATTATTGGGTGATGATGCAAGTTATGTCATGCAACTTATGTCAAAATGTTGCAGTTCCTTTTACTGTAAGGTTATGAAAGAGGTATTTACTAACGATATGGACAAACCTGTCCGCCAACATTGTCTAGCTTCCAAAGCTTGTGTGATCTTTGATTCGCCCATAAATTTGCAACATACGTTGTTTATAACAAGAAATCCAGAATTCAGTGGCTGCTGTGAGAAAAACAGAAGCTTTCCCAGTTCTCAAAAATTCTCTGCAGAAAGACTGTCCAGCTATTAGCCTCTCTACTTGCACAAAAGAAAATTTCTCACTGTAAAGAGCATCAGCACAGAACAGGAAGGACGGAAAGATTACACTGTCGTGTAGCCCAACACTCTCCTCTCGGTGTAGTTAATCACTTTAGAGCTAAGAATACCCATTTCCTGATAAACCTTATCTAAGTGTCAGAATAAGCCAGGAATGGCTAAAAAAAATGTAGTATCCATAATCCTTCAGCAAAAACATGGCATAGAACATTTCAGAAACTTAATTTGTGGTGAAAGAGAGAGAAGGTGTGAGGGTAAGAGAGAGAGAGGATTCGAGAGGTGAAGCAGCCCACGCAGAGAAGTGGGCAATCTGGACCTCATTAACTTTGTGTCAGTCACTTCCTCTTAGATAATAGGATTCATATATTAAATATACATAAAAATGTTTAATATAATTTATGTTAGAAAGTTTCTAGATTGCTTTTTTCCTAGGAAAATTAGCTTTATGAGCCTAGGAAAGTACAAAGTTTCAAAGCATAAGGTCTTATGATTCACTGAAAAGTACCTAGTGAGGTCTTTCTGCCTGGGAAGCAGATTCTAGGCCAGAGAGACTCCAGGAAATTGAAATATGGTACCTTCAACAGAAACTAGGGAATATCTTCCAAACACAAGCACTATCCTCTTCAGAAATTAATTTATTCAGGAGGCCCTCTTGTATTCAGGAGGCCCTCTTCCTCTTAGCTTCTGATCCTAGTTATACATATCCTGCTTTCTCCAAATTTAATTAAGACATTCAATTATAAATGACTGTGAAATGGTATCTAAGTGCAATGTTTAAATCTAACAGACACAAAGATGATTTATAACAATAATGCACACCACATACATGATAATTCAGGACCTATCATTTCACTACGGTGAATATGCACATTTTAAAGAATTGCAGCACTTTTGCAGAAACAACTAGGATACTGCAAATACCTGCGGGGTTGTTGACATGGAATCCAGTTCACCTGAGGATCTGGGATATCCTCCAGGTAAGGGAAAATTGTTTTCCTGGTAAACGTCCATCCATAAAGTGCATCTTCTGGAGTCACAATGATTTGGGCACCCTGTTCAGAACAAAGTCAAATCAAAATCATTCCTCCATGTGTAACACAGGCAATCCAACACTTCAATCTCCCACCAGTTCTCACATCTCTCCCATAAATTATGAATAGCAGAATAAAAATACCTGTGCAGCTGCCTGCTTAATCGCTTTCTCCAAAATATCTATATTCTTGTTCATAAGGAGCAAGGCATTTTCCTGAGAAACGGGTTTTCCTGTTGCATCTGGCAAAATAACAGCATGTTCATATACTGCAGCTATGAAAGTACCCAGAGCACCGACATGCAGGTTAATTAGGGCAAAAACTGCCACAGAGGTTCGAAAAGACGTGATCATGGTAGCAGTCTGATGATTTCTGAAAGTGAAAGTAACATTCTGTAGTATATATAGAGGTGTAAACATTTGTGTAATCCTTAACTGCCAGTTAATAGGTTCTTATAATCTTATGAACGTTATTCCTGACTAGTACTGAGGAAAAAACTATTGCAGTTCAATGAATACAATAAAGACATATTACAAAGATTACACAACAGGTATTATTGATAAGATCTGATGCTCACTTTAAAAAAATTCAAATATGGTACAATTGTATCCTTTTATTACTAGGAAGAAAAGTAACTTAATTAACTCTCATGTGAAAATCATAATACAACATACACGACGTTTATTAAATTACAAAAGCTAGGCAACAATTTTTTTCTCTTCTGCCGAATGACTTCCCTCATGTTTATTTTTAGGAGAGGAAAAAGATTTGCAAGTGTTTACTACTGGAAAAATGCACTATCGAACAATATCAGGAATGAAATCCACCCAAATGACCCTCTGACTTACCCATGAACGACTAAGACCACCCATGCACGTCATGTCCTTAGTGCCAAAGCACCGATCCTCTAGGTGCAGCTCCCTGGCGTTGGGCCAGATAAGAAATCAAGGCCGCTGCTTACAGGGCCCTCAGGGTACTAAGCTTCCTCTCTCCCTCCCTATTCTCTCCTTCCTTCCTTTGGAACTAGAAGGGGAAGTGTCTCAGGCTGATAATCATAAAGATCATCTCTGCTATAACCCAGATAACATATAACTTTCATTTTTGTTACAGGCAAAAGTTGTATTATATAAATGAGCTTTAAGAATACACATACATTATGTAACCTTTGATGCCTTCCCAGGATATCCATGTTCTCCCTTCCTTGGTCCCAATCCTACCAGGTAAGAATTTAGTTTTTGTTTTTTTAATCAGGGCCTCTTGGTAAAAGTCATTCAAATACTTTTAGACAGAATAGTAGAGGAGCAATAAATAAAATTCTTCTATGCTTTACCCTCATACTGAGATAAAATTCTTAATAAAGCAGAGGTCTAAGATCTATAAACAAGGTCTGCTCATATTTTCTGCTTTGAATAGAATTCGCTATTAAAGAAATAACTTCTTACTCCTATAGGATAGAAAACTGAAAATAATTTCTAGAAAAATGGTCAAGCTCTTTAGTGGAAAATGTGAAAGGATAGATATTTTAAATAAAATTTTAGCATATTGTATATAGATTGTTAGTATGTGATTACACTATGTAGTTTGTATATAATTATTATATCAGCATAGGTCATTGGTATGTAACCTATTTCTATATAGTAGATTAGGAGTGCATTTAGAGTTTAGTTGAGCATGTAACCCAAATGCCTCCAATTTATAGGACATGAATCTGAGGCACAGAGAAGTAGAATGACTTAGAGCAGGGTGTAACTTCTCACTCCTGATTCTAGAATCTTCCCTCTATGCCCAATACACTATGCATGTGTCTATGCTCTGGTTTAATGTCTGTGTCCAAGTGTCTGAACATTCTATCTAGTCTTTTAAGGAACCCAATTCAAAATAACCATCTTAAGAATACTACAGGTGAAGCTGCCAATTTTTCAATGCAGTCCGATGCAATTGATGACTAGTGAAGACTCTTAAGCCCTTCCATCTCTCTAAGAATTATTTCAATCATGATCTACTTTCATGTTACTTAATCTCACCAATTAATAATATTTCATTATTTCTTTTGCTTGAAAGTAGTTGGGTAGGTTGGTGAAGATGAGCTAACAGTCTTTTCTGTTTGAGAAGAGTATCTGTCTGTCATATCTTAATGTCTCCAAATTTCTGAATGGTTTTTCTCTCTTTGTGTCTACAAAAGAGAGAAATGGTGTGAATTAGAGCTTTTTTGGTTGTAGGGGTAAAGAAGAAATGGCTTCTGACATGAAGTCAAGCTGACCATGTCAAGGTCCCTTTTTCTCCTTTGCTGCATTTCAAAATTGGCTTATAAAACTTGAGAATCTGAGTAACAAAGGTAATAGCATGGAAGAGTCAGAAATCAGTAAATGAGTAACAATTTAAATATAGAAGAATCCTTGAGATATAAAGAAAAAGTGAATGATCTTTACAGATATCAACCATAGAAGCAGTAGATATTGTTTTAAATCTTCAGAAATAAAGGACCAAATTCAGGACATAGAACTCTCAGAGCTTACATTTTTGTGTTCATAAAGGTGATTAAGTAACATTTACTTCTTTAGTTTGACCCAGCTATAAAATAATGTTACATTGTCACAGATTGATTAATTATAATTCACTAATAGAGCCTCATTCCTTATTTGTGATTAATAGACTTAATTACAAGGGTAAAAAGCTATAATCAATTCAAAATTATTTGGTTAGAGTCATTAGGAAAAACAGTCATTAACTCAAACATTTGTTGCTAGTTGTAAATCTGATCATCTCTTAGAATAACATTCAATTGAGCTCTGTTCTACATCTTTAATACGAAGAGTAGAAGTGTTGTTTTTGCTTTGTACTGTACTTTCTTGAATTTTTCCCACCTAAAAGTTCAGGTAATCATACCTTCTCTATTGCCTTCGCAAGGTTATTTTGAGAGTCAAACACACACACCAAGTCCTCTGTAAGATTATGATGTATGATAATAACTACAAAAAGGGATGATAATTACTTAGTAAAACAAAGATCCTGACTACTTAGTACTATTTAATTGTTAGGCCCACACAACTATTATTGTTCAGTTAAACTAATCTAGTCTATTTGGGGTGCTGTCCTGGGGAACTGCTGGAGACAGGATGTGGGACAGGATACCTGGACACCAACTCCTGGATCATGCCAAGCTGGGCAGGGGAGATGCATGCACATCCATGGGGTCGTGGAGGCACAGTCAAGGCACAAAAGAACTCAACCACAGGAAGACAAGGAGCAGCTCTGGGCTCTGACACAGGCTGTAGGACTTACTGGTCTGGTCTCTTTCCCAGATATGAAACAACAAGTGGTTGAGAAATTAAGTGTTGGAAATAGCATGTAAAACATTGACAGCATTTCCTCACAGGCAGTAAGGATGACACATCAAAATAAGAAGTAGGAAAAACAGAATAACCTTCTTTTAAAACCATTTTCTCTTGGTACCAAGGGAAGGATGATGCTGTATCCCAAAAAAGTACTTAATGGTAAAGAGCAGTGTTTCTCTCTTGTCCTTGTTGGAGTCTGGCTTGTCTTCAGCACGTCAGTTCCAATCAGCCTGTGTGAAAGGAAATGTCTGCCTGAGCAGAACCAGCCTGAAGTTCAACCATCTTTTGCAACCAGATCCTACCCAGTAAATCGCTCCTCCAGTTCTGAACTTGGGTGGGTGTTCAACTCTTCAGACAGTTAATGCACCTGAAACCAAGACAGAATCTGAGAGACTAATGACACCTCATAGCTCGTGGCTCCCTGAATGCCCTACTGAATGGAAAGAGTTGTTCTACAGGATGTTGTCAATAGCCAACAGTTTTTGACCCACAGCAACAGCATTTCACATGGTTCCATCTATCCTTCTGCTCTCTGCTCTCAGAAGTTTAGGCTATGGGATGCTGAGCTGTAGAAACACCTTTGAACTGCTAGCAACCTCGCATACTGAAGGCCTCCACTTCCTCAAAAGGAAAATAGTAACAGGCTCTCTGGTTGATGGTTTTGTTTGTAGATTAACTAGTTCCCATTGAACTCTGCCAAAAGTTCATTGTATTCACCAACAGGAACTTTTCAAACTTCTCTCGGGTGGTGCTTTAGATTGAATGTTTGTGTTCCCTTAGAATTCATAGGTTGAATCCTAATCCCCATGACTAATATGACGGTATTAGGCATGGAGGCTTTGGGAGGTCATTAGTTTGTGAGGGTAGAGCCTTCATAAATGGGATTTATGCCCTTATAAAAGAGACTCAGGAAGCTACCTTGTCCTTCCACCAAGTGAAGATTCAGAGAGAAGGTGGCAGTCTGCAGCCAGGAAGTGGATCCTCCCCAGACCCCAATATGTCAGCTCCTTGTTCTTGGACTTACCTGCCTCCAGGTAATTGAGAAATTAAGTGTTGGAAATAGCATGTAAAACATTGACAGCATTTCCTCACAGGCAGTAAGGATGACACATCAAAATAAGAAGTAAGAAAAACAGAATAACCTTCTTTTAAAACCTTATTTTAAAGAAATGATTTTCTGTAGTTTATAAGCCACCCAGTCTATGGCATTCTGTTACAGCAGCCTGAACAAAGGCAGCCTGGAGTCAAGGTTTTGGTAAGTCATGATGACAGCCACAATGGAAACAAATCCTAAAGAGCTGGATAAAGCCACTTAACGTATGTATGTGGGCAGTTGTAGAAATATGCATTTGAAAGGGTATGGTACAAAAATAAAACTAAAACCCTAGGAACTTTGTAGCTGTGTGACTCAGAGCAAGTTGTCTTCTCTTAGTGCGCCAGTCCCTCATCTGCAAATTGGTGATGATATGTGAATAGTTTTTGCTGTGACAATTACTGGCTCATGCCCATAAGATGGAGGCTCTTTCATGAGGGCAATGACCAGTGCAGCTTTAATCCAGGTGTTTAACTCTCGCTGGTCAGCTGCCCACCTGTTCTTGGCTAGGAACTTCTTAAAAGAATATCAACAAATCCACATTCTCAATTTTCTCATTGTTCTTTTGCTCCATGAAATCTTTCATGTTTCCTCTTCTGTGTCGACTTGACCTGAATGGCTTCTGCTGTAACTGAAGTTCATTTCTACTAATTAATCTTGATGGCTTCACTTGCAGCAGTACTAGAATTCTCCCTCTGATCAGTAGCTCTCACCCCTTATTTCTTGCATTATCCTACTGTTTTAAACCTCACACACATACAAAAAACTTACCCAGACACTGGCCCACTCAGACATTGCTGTTGGGAATGTAAAACGGTATACAGACACTTTCTTAAAAAAACTAATCATGACTCTGCTCCCTCTTGCAAGGCAGCACTACATAGGAAGGCAGGGCCGCGTCGTAGCGCCTCCTACATCTGTGTAGGAGTGTCTGTGTTGAATTTACAGACCTCAGTGCAGGAAGATATTTTTTATGAGATGGTTCTTCAGTTTCTTTTTATGCTCCACCATTCACCAAAGTGACTATGTTATGCAAAGACAGAGAAGAAAAGCTGAAGTCTTGGATTGGATCTGCTCTGAGCACCTAGAATCTGAGTCTTATGCCATAGCTCTACCACAGGGAATTTGCTTATATGGAATATCAATTAATGTGCAGTATCTACTTGAGAGTTCTCATTCTTCTGAATCAACCAACTGAAGTCTTGAGAGCCGTATTAAGAAAAATTCACCAGCAAAAGAAATGAAGCTGTGGATAATCTTCCTTCCCTGGGCAGCTTTTTCCAATTGACAATGCAGCTTTGCCTCAAGAATATTTTTTCTTTCAGAAAATTTGCAGTGGCATATGTATGATTCAGCATCGCAGCTTCCTTACTATGAGGCGACAGAGCTACTTCCTAAAGCACATCCCTGTCCTCACACTATTTACATTCCAGATCTAGTGGCTGGGCCCTGTTCTTGGGAACTGACTCACCAGCATCAAGTGGTCTGATCTTTAGCAGATAAGTAAACAAAAGAGACAAAGGCACACCCAGCAGTAGTGATAGAACAGAAAACAGCAGAGGAAATGAATGGAGCCCTAAATTCACAAAGTGTGCGAGGAAAGGTATTATGTTCAAATGAAATGTTTTTCTATGCTGGTTTTAATTCTTTTAAAAGAAAAAAATCCGTATCTGACTTTATTCAGCAACTGATTTTACAGCTGTCATTTCTGAAATATGTAATAATGTGACAACTAATTTGGTATTCAAATTTGTCTTGAATGACAAAAACTTTAGAATAGTAATAATGTACATTTTATATTTGTCATGCTATTGTTGACCCATTGTCAACAAGAAATACACTTTTGAGTTGTTTTCAGTACTGATGATGGAATTGCACTAAATTACAAATCAATTTATTGCTGAACACCATGCTTTCTTAAATTTTTACCTATAAGCCTCAACTATAAATAGGCTGGGCTTTAGAAGTGGAGCTGTGTATTTTCTCTACTGCAAATATTTAAGAGTTGCAAGTTGTTCCTAATGAAGGCTAAATAAGCAGGCCTCAGTTTCCTTCACTACCTTAAACAACATTTCATTTTTTCGGTCTAAATAGGTTGCTTCTGAGCCTTATTCTCCTATGGGTTTATTTCATAAATTGAGGATGTATGGCAGTGATACCAAAAGGAAGATAACTATCATAGGACTAGTCTTTGAATAATTTCCTTTGGATGTGATTTATATAGAGGTATCTGCCTCTTGGTTTCTCATTTGTTAATTGTCTTTAATAACAATTAGTTGGCTATGTCAGTTATTTATTATCCACCTCTTTTGCCAACTAGGTTTGAGAGGGTACATTTACCATAGTTAAACCTTGATAACTTAATACAAAAGTAAATGGAATATTTTATAATGTATGATATTTAATATTTTCTGTCCAAATCAAATTTCCTATGTAAAATAAATGGGTTATTTGGGGGAAAACAAATCATGTGACTACCAGGTAGTCCAGCAGTTGTATGTTATACATGTATGAACCCATACATGAATGTTCCCAGCAGCTTTGTTATAACCATAAACTGGAAACAAACCAGATGTCTTTAAATGGACGAATAAACAAGCTATATATCCCATCGGATACTACTCAGCAATATTCAGAAATGAATTACTGATATAAGCCACAATGTAGATAGATCTAAAGAGCATTATATCGAATAAAAAAATCTCAGAAGGTAATGTACTATATTATTCCATTTATTTTATTTTATTTTATTATTATTATTTTTTAAAATATCGAACGCTTCACGAATTTGCGTGTCATCCTTGCGCAGGGGCCATGCTGATCTTCTCTGTATAGTTCCAATTTTAGTATATGTGCTGCCAAAGCGAGCACTATATTATTCCATTTATATAACATTCTTGAAATGACAGAATTATAGAAATGGAAAACAGAGTAGTGCTTGTCAGAAATTAGGAGGGAGTCAGGGTGAGAGTGAAGTGGGTATGGCTGTAACAGGGCAACCTGAAGAATGGGAAGGTTCTGTATCCTGACTATATCAATACACCCTGCTTATGATATTGTCCTGCAGTGCTGCAAGACGTCACCACAGGGGGAAGCTAGGGAAAGAGTAAATATGATCTCTGTGTGTTATTTCTTAAAACTGCATTTGAATCAGCAATGATCTCAAAACTAAACAAGTTTAAAAGAAAAATAATTTGTGATTTTTTTGTTTGCCCTTTTTTATTTTTCTTGTGGACAATTTGTGTATCACATATGTAGGTTGCATGATCTTAACATAAAAGCGTTCTTATTTATTATTATATTCTACATTCATTCTCAGATGATTTTTAAGCTGGGCACCATTGTTATATTTAGAAGAATGTAATTACATAATAATATAAACACACAGAGATTTCCTTTGATGGTTTTGACCTACCTTTTAAGCTCAGAGTTCCTCTATCCTTCCTCATATTTTAAACACTTTTGTCATTTATTTTAAAACTTGCAAAATCATAAAGTGAGGAAGAGGCAGTTGGTTTCGTCCAAAGGGTCTTTAAATACACAGGTACCCGGTGGCATGTTATTGACAGAAGCGTGTTAGGAATGTGAGCAGCGCCGGTAACCGTAGGAGTCTGGCGGTCCTGAGCGGGTGGGGGAGGTGCAAATCCCACTGCAGTGGCCTGGCTTGGGTGCTTAACAGCGGCCCCGTGCTGCAGCGGAGGAAACTGGAGGCGCTCCGCGGCATCCTTGGCCACAGGGCTGAGCAGACGCTGCCCGGTGAAGCCGCAGGGAGCTAAGTTTGTCCCTACTATGAACTCTTAAGTTCCCTTAAGGCAGAGACTGTGTTTATCTGGATCACAGCTGAATCCCTAGCACCTAACACAGTGTCAGCTCAGTGAAAGCATTCAATAAATATTTTTAAATTAATAAGTAGATAAAACCATTTCTTTTATTTAAAAAAAAGGTGGTGAGGGGAGCTAAATGTGGCAACTACACCACGAAGATTCTTCAGAGATATTAGAGTTGCACAATAGAGTTTTGTTCTCTTCACTCAACGGCATGGATTTTACATAAAGTCCGAGGAACCTCTTCCCTAAAATACAACAAGCATTCCTATCGGCTCGCTTACACTGGGAAAGAGATACATCTACCAGGAAGGAGTATGCTTTAAAAACAAACCGAGAGTAGAATTGAGGCAGATATCAAGGGTAAGGAATAATGTTATACCAAGCATTGTTTATAAATCTAGATCATGATTCAAAATGTGGTACAAAAATAGAAGTCTTGAGTAATATTATTCTTGTACCTTTCACACAAACACAATTTTTAGAAGAGCTGAGGGTCTAAGAATGCTCCTGAGTTTTGCCTGATATGCACAAATTCTTCCTTACGAACAAGAACAAACACAAAATCCCAGGACACAGAGAAAGCATATTTAAAAAAAAACTGATTTCACAATAATCATTCTATGTATTTTGAATCATATTTATATTATGTTTAAGCATACTAAGACATTCATTTCTCTGTTAATAAAAAAAGGTACATTCACAGAATCAGTACACTTGGAATAAAAAGTAAACAGAGGAAACAGTAGTCTTAGCATCAATAACATCTTCAAGAACAAGTTCAGTCACTTTATAACACAAACTTCTACTGATTTTCAACTAGTCTCATACTTAACGTTTCAAATATGGCTAGTTCTGCAGGTCAGCTTTTCAGAATAAGAGTTAAGTGCAGCCCAACAAAGAGTCATCCAAAACTTGCTGACACTTAGAGGATGCTGGTGTGGGCTCCAAGGAGTTTTGGGTGTAAAATTAAGGAAACCCTTCCAACTTTGATGTTCAAAGCCAGCAGCATCAATCGCACAATTTTGTATCAATCCAGGATTCTTAAAGCTAGATTTCATGAGACAAGAGAGTAATTATTTCTTTCTCTGTACCAAGGATATTTTGAAGGTTAGATCTACATTAAAGGAAAAGAGAGGGGAACCTCAATATTTTTCATCTTAAAAAAAATAAAACAACTTAATACTTATATCTCTATCTCTTCAAAAGTGTCTAACATGTAATGTGGCTCAAAGTGCCCAGATATCTGCTGTCTGGAAGAACAAGTGTAAAATTCTATTTCTTTTCTATTCCCACAACCTTTAAGGGGAGAACAAAAAACTTCTTCTCCTTGAGTGGTCCAACAGATAAAATAAGCTCATCACTAATCCCTTTAACACAGTTAAAGGTATGGGTTAATGCCATGTCTCCAAATCATGTTTCCGAACAAATATAAGGAAAAGGAAAACAAAAGATGGATTACTCACACTTGTCAGAGCCCACAGAACTTGGACAGCAGCTGCCCATTCAAAACCAATTTTTTAATACAGAAATCCACCCAGTATCAGTCCTATAAAAGCACTAACAATGAAAAGAAGAAAGGGTATTAAATAGTGCAATAAAAGAGTTGCTTCCTGGGGGTATTAAGATTAGCATGCATGGTGGGGGTGGGAGAAAGGGGAGGGCTGTACAACACAGAGAAGACAAGTAGTGATTCTACAACATTTTGCTATGCTGATGGACAGTGACTGTAAAGGGGCTTATAGGGGGGACCTGGTATAGGGGAGAGCCTAGTAAACATAATATTCATCATATAAGTGTAGATTAATGCTAACAAAAAAAAAAGAAAGAAAGAAAAGAGAGATTACTCCCTGATAGGATAAAACTAACTGTAAATCAACGATTAACGCATGCTTTAAATATCCTTAATTTTGATCACTTAAAGGGTGTCAGATGATCGGCTATGGAGGTACATTTTTCTGATAACACTCCTTCCTCTTAAAAAAAAAAAAAAAGCAGTTCCTGTTTGGTGACCTCCAATGAGTTCTACACAATGGTATAAAGGGCATATCAAAGTGTAGGCAAAGGGTCTGTTTGTGTTTATACAGAGGATCAAAGCCTAATTTGGCTACCCGAAAATGAACTAAGATACAATATGAAGAAGAACTTCCAACATCAG